AAACAGTACTATATAACATTTTAGACACATTCTAGACAGTTTATCAGCTAAAAAAAGTTAATTTTGGGGTAAGTTACTCTTTAAGAGTAGCTTCAACACTTAATAAATCAGTGTTGATATTTTGTCTTCTTGGATTATTACAGATTTTTATGCAGACTTTGGCAGTATTTGAAAACGTGGGGAATATTTTGGAATGGAAGGACTCAGGTGTTGCTGAATGAGGATCCCTGAAGAACATGTGAAATCTTCAGACAGACAAACTCAGAGGTCAGAGGTAGAGAAAAGGAGATAGCTTTACTATAAAGAAGGCGTCGCTAGCAGAAGTTGCAACATCTCATACACGCATACATGGTGAGTATACAGTTTTCTTTTCTGGAGTAGGACTTCCTTACAAATGCTGTTACTTTGCATGTTTAAGCAAGACTTTAACAAGCTGCTCTGATACCCAGAGATAAAAAACAAACAAACAAACAAACAAACAAAAGAACATATAATGAGCCAAACAACATGTATTCAGACATTTACAAAATCCAAATCCATTCCAGACTTTTCATCATTTTGAAAGGAACAAATAAATCAGCTAACATGTTTATCGTCCTTGAAAGGTGAGCAGAAACAGTGTGGACAGTAAAAACAAGTTCTCTCCTCTGTGTGCACCTCTAATCCACGTGCACACACAAAAGGATGAGAAATAAAGCACTACGTCTCAGCAGATATGCAGTTTTTTTTTTACATTTCCCTCTGTGGTACACAGGGTAAGGCCCTGTGAGGAGAAGGGTGACATGTCGTGTTTGAGCTAAAAAAATATCTTAAACTTCACTCAGCTCAGAAAAACAAACAAATCAGTGATCAAATGTCAGCTTTCAGCTGCTCAGAAAAACAAAAAGAAACATTTCTGTTATAAAATGAGGAGAAATAACAGAAAACCTCTAAACAAGATGAGATTTATGATTTCTGCACAGATCTGCAGGGCAGAGTGTGATTAACGAGTGCAAAAATGACCTTTTCATCAAATAAAACTGACTAATGAAAGACATCAACACTGATTATTGAAAGTGTGTCCAACACCAGATGAGTTTCATGTACAAGTTTATAAATGTATCAATGCCAAAGATGATAAAAGTGATTTGGTGAAAGGAGGAGAGATTTCCAACAGAAACCCAGAGAAAGCAGAGGAAGAAACCCTCTTACTGGTTATACTGGACATGAATTTACACGTTAACATGAAGAATAAAAGGTTGGATTAATACAGGAAGAAGGAAAGCAGAGATTAAACTCTACAGGTGAAAGATTACAGGAGTTTAAAGAATRTCTTTAAAATGCTACAGAGCTGAGCTTCTTATTTACATCACAGAGGAGTGAATCTGTTACACAACAAATACTTTCAAACATCATGGAACATATGACTGACAGATCTGCTACAGTCAGAACCAGAACCAGAACCAGAACCAGAACCAGAAACAGTTCTGCAGGCGTCTCCTTCCTGTTCCAGGCAGAAGCCTCACACCTGACCAGAGGGTACAGATTCATCACGCTGAGATAAAGCTTTTCTTTTTTTAGGAGGACGGGCTCGTGTTTGCAAAGATCATATATTTTTAAAGATGTACACAATAAATGACAAGTAATGACAAAAAACTGTTTGTTATACTTTATAGATTTGAATAACATTAAGAATAAAACATGACGACGAGAAGAGCAGCTAAATATGATGATGGTGATAAATGTAAAACCTGATAATCTCATGATAATCCAGGACAGATTCTTCATTTTAGCTGTTTCTTAAACAAAGAATATAAATTAGTTCAAACGTCTATAAACCTATTTTTTTTAAATTAAAGAGTCATATATTAATATAATTCACATCATAGAATAAAGGAAAAACATCAAACATTTTAAAAAGACGCTGAAGAGTGCAGCTTAAATATACGAGCTAAAATAATCTGAGAATTGTTCAGTGAAAAGAACCAGAACCAAACAGAACCGATGAGTCGACGTTTCTGAAAGCTGCACTGCGAAAACAAACGGTCACCATGTAACGGGAGTTAAAATGAAGTTTTTCTTTCWGATAAATGTGATTTAACTGCAGTTTGATCAGAGGCTGTTTCTGTAACAAACTGCAGGTCAAAGGTCGACTAAGACAAACAAGAAGAGGTTTATGTGAAGTTTGTTAATGAAAATAAAATCCTTCATTACAACATGACCCGTGCAGGGTCAGGGTCCAGGGTCCACAGTAGAGTCCAGGGTCCAGGGTTTGGATCAAACAGTTTCATGTGAACCCAGTGATACAGTATCAGAGTCCAGTGCTGCATTCAGGCGTCACAGGAACTTCCAGCTTCACAGCATCTCACAGCTGAAGTCTGACAAACTGAACCTTTATGTTCTTTATTACTAAGACAAGTGATTTGTGGTTTTAGCTCAGCTAATCGTAGAATACTACAGAAAAACAGGAGCTTAGAGAAAAAAAGTAAAAACATTTAGTTTTTGTGATGGGTGGWTTTAATTTGCCAGAATACAGTTTTAATTCTCCCTCCATGCATGAGCTGATCCTTCAGACTCAGCTATAAAATGTGGAAAGTTCACGATTATTCTGCCTGAATAATTGTGTCTCACTGTCTCCAGTTTGTGCTCCGTACCATTTACTCATGAACATATGAAATCTAGTGATGTCAGAGTTTGGGCCACCTTTCTGCCACCAGAACAGGCAGAGACTTTATGTTTCAGTCAGAATAAGACCTGGGATTATCTTAATGTTACAAACGAATGTGAAGAATTAATGCATGAACGCAGGATTAGCTTGGCTGCTAATGAGAGAATCAACAGACTTTGATCTTTTGGTGTTTTTCACTAAACTACTGAAACTTTTCTCTTTTCTTYGAAGTGCACATTCTTTACTACCATGCTGAAAAATACTCTTTTCTTTAATCTTTGCTTTAAATGGAAATGATCCCAGCAGAACGCTCTTGTTGCGCAGGAATGGGCTTTGTGTTACAGAAGTCACGTTGCACGAGAACTCTGGGTCAGAGGAACACGTTCACCACCTCGTTCAAGGCAAAGTAAACACAAACATGCGATTTCTGTTTTTGCTTTTTTCTTTTTTAAGATAAAGAAGCCCAAAATAAAGCCTTTTCCTACCCAGGTTAAAGCCAACATGTAGTGGAGGTTGTGCATAGTTGTGTGGGGGACGAACACGAGTGTGTGAACAGCATTCACCATTCGCTGCCTGAATATCAATATGATAAACGGATCTGTTGGAGTCCTGCTCAGGTTAGTGCTCGGAGGCTGATGCGGCACACGTGTCGGGGTGGGCACGTGTGCCGGACGCGACACATCAGCAGCAACAGGAACATGAAACTGATCTGAGATCTGAGGGCAGAGAGGAATCAACAAAACTCAAAACATGTCTTAATAATAAAAAATAAGCTTTAAACCTCTAAAGAGTGTTTGATCRTGCCTCCAAACGTGTCCTGAAGGCACACTACCAGCAGTCTGTGTGTGGGGGAGGGGCCGACAGGGCCGTCTGTCCAGAGATCTCCTCTGATTGGTCAATTTAACCAAGCTGGAAACAAAGGTTAATGATTCCACCTTGTGTTTGTCCACTGCAGAGGATCCTGCTGCGCTTGTCTTTCAGATAACCAGGTGTGTGTGTGTGTGTGTGTGTGTGTGGACAGTGGTGAATCAAACAGGAATCAGAGGTCGTTTCAGTGTCCCAGCATGCATTGCTGCTGTGCTATGCCAGAGAGTAGATGGCGTTAACGGGGGAGGTGGCCTCGGAGCTCTCGTTTCCCTCCGTCTCGTCCTTGTCCTTCTTCACTGTGTACTGACCAATAAACGAGCCGTCCTCGTTGAACTGACCRTCGCCGCCTTCGCCGTAGTCCACCAGGCTGTCGTCACTTTCCTTCACATTTCCATCCAGAGAAGTCTGGCTGCCCTGCAGGGGCTTGTTGTCTTCATCGCTGCTACAAAGACAGATAAAAGCTRCGGGTTAAAACGTGACGAAGGCAGCAGGAGGCAGAGGAACTGACTCTCTTTAGAGGAGAATCAGAGCTCAGATGTTTTGGAAGGACAGCTTCTTGCTTTAGAAAGACTCGTCCATATCCAGACTTTTAGATGAGGTTAATCTGATTTGTTTAACCAGGCAAATCCCACTGAGATTATGTTTTCAAAAGAGGCCTGATGGCAGCCTAACATGCATGTTTTTGTTCTGTGGGAAGAAAACCAGAGAAAACCCACGCAAACATGAGGAGAACATGCAAACTCCACACAGAAAGACCCCAGGTCCGAATCCGGGATTGAACCCAGGACCATGTTGTTGTGCAGCATCAGTACTCATCACTAATGCTGCGTTCACACTGAACGCAATTTCAGCTTCAAAATCGCAGCCAACGCTTCAAGTTGGTCGCTTGTGCACTTTGAGGTCAGACGCAGGTCAGCTCTTGAAGCGCTGCACGGCAGAGCCTCCCCGCCCCTCCCTCCTCTGTCGGGCTCTGTTTAATGTCGGACGAGGAAGTGGCTTTGCTTTATTTACAGAGAGCAAGAGCATGTCACGTTCATCAGATAATTAATTCATAATTAATTCACCAGATAATTCAGAGTAGAGGCTCACAGCTCGCTTTCAGGACTATTTTTGTCCCGAGTCCAGTCTGATGAGCCGCTGCCATGCATTGGTGAGGATATCTCTGTCAGGACACCGACTGCAGGCACTCGATTTCAGCTAAAGAGCTCCTCTCCATCTGTTTCAGGTTAGTGGACATCATTCAGTAAACTGTCCCRTCGGGAAATATGTCGCTACGTCACACAGTGGAGTCTCTCTGATTGGTTGATGCTGCGCGTCGAGCTGCAAAAGTTCAGATTTTCTAACTTCAGCGATTTGCGCCTCAGCGCGTCGAACGCTCAGATCGTTCAAATCGTTCAAATCGMGCTRYTCTAATCGCGCTTGAGGYGCCGCAGCACTTCCCGACGYTGCTTGAARCGCATCCACCATAGACTTTGTATGTAAACCTGAKGCTCCTGATGCTGAAACCGCGTTTGGTGTGAACGCACCATAAGTCATGGTGCTGACCAGTAAAATATAACAGTTTTAACCAATAACACATTCAAAACATCTAATTTTCCTTCAGTAACATGATCAAAAAATCAGAGTTTAGAAACCTGCTGATTTACGTGTTTTATAGAAACATCAGTAAATCATCTGTCAGCATGAGGTCATCATTAAAAAAAGATCCAAAGTTTGAAAGTGGTTCATCAGCGCTGGTTTTAACTTGTATGGGACATGTTCAAAGCAAGCCTACAGTGGGTTGCAAAAGTTTTTACCCCCCTAGGTATTGTTTTATAACCTGAATAAAAATCAATTTTTTAGTTTATATATAGGTAATAATTCTACAAAAATACTCCAAATTCACAAAGTAAAAAGGCTGAAATGTTTGGAGTTTCTTCCCTGAACATGTGGAGGAAGGTTCTGTGGACAAATTTAGGCTAAAACTGAACTTTCAGGTCTTTAAGGAGCTCATCTGAAGCAAACCACCCATCTATCATCACACTGAGAGCATCTGAAGCACGGTGGTGGCAGCTTCATGATCAGCAGGACGATGAATGGAGCAAAATAGAGAAAATATTCAGAGAAAATCATTTGAGACTCCGAGACTGAAACTGGGACATGTGGTCCAGCTGAAGCTACAGGAGAACCAAATAAATGTTCTGGAATCGTCCAATAAAACCAGGACCTGAGTCCAACACAGAGCCTGAAGGAGCTGCAGGTGTTCAGTCACGAGTCATGAAAAGATGGACCAGAACCAGGGACTGGAACAAGAGACAAGGTGGTGACACAACAAAACAACTCAAGTTGTTGTTCTTTCTCTTTTCTATTCTTTTTTGTTTTGTTGTTGTTTTTCAAAAAAAAAACATTCATCATCTTCTAAGTAGTAACTCTGAAGTTAAATGAAATAATCATAAACTACCCAAGACTTCTTTTAGGTTCTAGTTTTGTAATAAAACACAACAGATGGAATGCCATGGGGGTGAATACTTTTGCAACTCACCGTATCTTTTACAAAAACATTTATCTCTTCATCTGTTCATCATTCATTAATCCACCCATCCATTTATCTATACATGAGCATATTTCTGTTCATATTTATCTATTTTTAAACCAACCCTGTCTCTTACTGTAAGTCATACAACCCCTGGCAGAAATGATGGAATCAGCGGACTCAGAGGATGTTCATTCAGTTGTTTAATTTTGTAAAAAAAAAAAAAAAAGCAGATCACAGACATGACACAAAACTAAAGTCATATCAAATGGAAACTTTCTGGCTTTAAGAAACACTAAAAGAAATGAAGAAAAAAAAAGTGGTAGTCAGTAACAGTTACTGTTTTTTAGCCAAGCAGAGGGGGAAAAATATGGAATCGCTCAATTCTGAGGAAGAACGTTATGGAATCACCCTGTAAATTTTCATTCCCAAAACTAACACCTGCATCAAATTMGATCTGCATCTAAGAAGGAGTGATCACACCTTGGAGAGCTGTTGCACCAAGTGGACTGATATGAATCATGGCTCCAACACCTGAGATGTCAATTGAAACAAAGGATTATCAAACTATCACACAATAGCTACATTTACATGGACATAAGTAATCAGATTAAACGGCCATTCGGAATAAAAATGCATCATGTAAACACCCCATTCGGATTATTCTGACCCGATTCAGCTCGATCTGAATGAAATTGTAATCAAAACGAGAGAGGTGGTTTATGCCGACTGATAATCTGAACAGCGTGCAGTAAACACTTAATCTGATCATCTTATTCTGATTGTAGAAAACTGATCTGACTGTGCATGTCTGCTGACTTTCATCCAGCAGTTTCTGCTATTTTGATGAGGGAGAGACAGCAGCGCTGTAGTTTTCAGCCGCACATAACTTTTCCTCCTGTTCTCTCATTCAGTAAAGAAGGAAGACACAGCCCACGCTTCACAATAATAA